AGGATCGTTGTCTTCTATGAAGAGAAGCTCCCTCATCACTAGTTTCTTCATCATCAATCACTACAGTGCCTATGACCAGCTCGGAGGGAGGACCGGCCAACGTCGCCACCTGGGATGATTCAGAGGCATCAACCTTTGCCCTCTTATTCTTCTCCCCGGACGCAGAAGAACGCCTTCTTTTTGGTTTTTTGTTCTCTGGCTGGGGACCCCGTGAAGAAATATTTGTGCCCGGTGTAGACCCGGAGGCACCCGTTCGAGCAAGCGCCTCCTGGAGCAGCCTCGCCGCATCAGCAGGGTCGGCCAAAAGATCCTCTTCGGGGATCTCGACTGAGCCCGGAGGTAGACCTAATTTGACAAACAAGTGAGGAGATTCAGCCAAAATCCACATATGCAAAACTAAAGGAAATCAATTCATAGTTACCATGATTCTTAGCCTTCCACCCATATTTTATGGATAGTTCTTTCCACAAGCGGATTTCAGGCGTGGTAATGTCCAAAATCTTTTGAACCCACCGGTCCAAGCCTTCTACTACCGGTGGGGCCCATCGGGTCTCTATAACATACAGAAGTTGAAAGATCAAAATAGGCGTAAAAAGTATTTAGGAGGGGAGAACGTATTGAAAGAAACTCACGGTAAAAGTTCAAAGCAATCGGAAAGGATGAGGCCGTTGTTATAATAATATCACCGGAGGAAACTTCAACAAACCGTTCTATCCACCCTCGGTCATTGTCATCATCCATACTGGAAATTAAAGCATGGTGATTACGCTTGCAAAGATTTATCACCCCCCCCCGCGAAAGATCTTGGGGGAGTACAGATTCATCATATGATCCAGTGTTAATTCCTCTCTGGTTTCAAAGCACAGGCGCCGAAGGCAGGCAACCGTCCTCCACACGGAGGGGCTTACCTGTGCCAAACATACCTGGTAGCGAAGGCAGAATTCAGCTATCACATAATCAAGCTCGCCACTCAAAGAGAACGTACCCAAGGTAAAAGGGTACGTGTAAAAGTATATGAAACCCTCTCTGGGAAGGATCGATCGCTCTGATAGGTCAGGAGAGATTGTAACAACCCGACCAGTCATTTTGAGAGTTATAGCCTTGTTCCCTTATTTACTGCTCATTCTGTACTTTATAGCTATTATATGACTTGTCGGGGTAGTCAGTTCGGGTCCGGTAAGGTTCTGAAATGAATTGGAATACTTAGTTCCAAGGTTTAAAGCTTAAGTTGAAATAGTTGACCGGATGTTGACTTATATGTAAACAACCCCGGAATAGAGTTTTGATGATTCCAATAGTTCTGTATGGTGATTTTGCACTTAGGAGCGTGTCTGAAAAATTATTTGGAAGTCCGTAGTTAAATTAGGCTTGAAATGGTTAAAATAAAAATTTAAGCTTGGAAGTTTGACTTTTTTATATCGGGATCGGAATCCGATTCTGAAAATTTCAATAGGTCTGTTATTTCATTTATGACTTGTGTGCAAAATTTGAGGTCAATTGGACTTGATTTGATAGGCTTCGACATCGAATATAGAAGTTAAAATTTCTAAGTTTCATTAAGTTTGAATTGGAGCATGATTCACGGTGTTATTGTTGTTTGATGTGATTTTAGGTTTCGACTAAATTCGTATGATATTTTAGAACTTGTTGGTATATTTGGTTGAGGTCCCGGGGGGCCTCATGTGAGTTTCGGATGGTTAACGGATCGAAATTTGGACTTAGAACAAAGCTGGAAATTTTCTGTCATCTCATGCAATCGCACCTGTAGAATTTGGCTTGCAGGTGCGAGCTCGCAGAGGCGAGCTTGGCATCGTAGAAGCGGATGGTCCGAAGAAGCGGATGAGGCATCGCAGAAGCGACGCAATGGTTGCAGATACGGCCTAGGCTTAGGGGGGTCTTGAATCGCAGAAGCGGACGCTTCATCGTAGAAGCGAGTCTGTAGAAGCGAAGTCTGTCGCAGAAACAGGAGAGTTACTGCAAAATCAGAACCGCAGATGCAGTTAAAAATTCCGCAGAAGCGGAACCTCTGGGCAGTGTACAAAAACAGAGGGTTCTGAGTTTGTCATTTTTTGACACTTTCAACACGGTTTTGGGGCGATTTCAGAGAGAATTCACGGAAAAACTTGATGTAAGTCACTTGTGATCATTGTTAGTCAATAATATTGGATTATCATTGAGTATTTCGACTAGATTACATGTTTTTGAGGTGAAATTAGCGGATTTGGGCCTAGGGATTTCAAAATAAGAATTTGAGATTTGGAGGTCGAGTTGATGTCGGAATTTTATAAATTTGGTATGGTTGGACTCGTTGTCGAATGGATGTTCATATTTTGTAACTTTTGTCAGGTTCCAAGACGTGGGCCCCACGGGCGATTTTTGAGTTAAATTTCGGTTTTTATTGAAAAATCTGTATTTTCATTTCTATAATTTGTATTGACTGAATCGAATTAATTGTGACTAGATTCGAGCCGATCGAAGTCAAAAAATAGAGGAAAAGGCATTCTTATTGACCGATTGAGCTAGGCTTGAGATAAGTGACTTGTCTAACTTTGTGTGGGGGAAATCCCCTTAGGATTTGGTATTGTTGTAAACACTTTGTGACATGTGAGTGCCATGTACGCGAGGTGACGAGTGCGTACACGGGCTAATTGTGGAAATTTTGGTTCTTGCTGAGTTGTCTTCTTTTAAATTCCTTAACTGAGTTGCCTTAGCATATGTAGTGATCATGTTTAGCCTGGTATCGCATGTCTACGTGCATTAACTCTTACTAGCAATTTGTACAACATGCTTAGTTGAATTACCTGCTTTTCTTTGATTTGAATTAAATCTTTAAGTGTAAGATTCTTGCTATAAATTTATTGTTCCTTCGGTTATCTGCTGCATATTTACTTTGGGACTACGAGGCGTTTACTTGGGAGATCCCCCTATACTCGGAGTCCCCCTCTATCCTTATCATGTTATTTTCCTTATTTTAGTAGACTTTGATGTATAGAGACATTAGTATTTCTCTTAGAAGCTTGTGACTTGTTTCTACCGGGTTTTGGAAGATTGTAGTTCTTTGACTTGCAGTTTTCATTTATTACAACGAATGAGGTTTGAGTTTCAAACTCTTATTATGTTATTCCGCAATTTGTTAGGCTTACCTAGTCTTAGAGACTAGGTTCCATCACGACATCATACGGAGGGCGAATTGGGGTCGTGACAGTGATGATGTCCAAATTCGGGTAGCAACAGTCTTCCTTCACAGTAGGGATACTGGAAGGATGAATGGAAGATGGATACCTACTAACCGCCCATGTACGGGGGTATCAGTGGGAAATTTCTCCTCCAAATCCTTCAAAGTACTGAGCCTTTTGGGGATTATGGAACTTACTGTTGGGGGAGCAGAATCTTCATTTTTGTTCTTATTTTTCAAAGAACCAGAACGTTTAGATGAAGAAGCCATTAGAAGAGGGGAAAAAGAAATTACGTGTTTGGAAAAAATTAGAGAAGAGATGAAGAGCAAGAATGCAGGATGGAAGTTCAAGCAGCTGGTAAGACCCAAAGGAAAAGGGAGTTGATACGTATACGTAAATTTTTGGGCGGCTAAAATACTTGGCTCTAATTACCTCGATAACTGGCGGAAGGCGTGCTAAATCATAGGAGGATGCGTGTTCTAGGCATTAAATGCGGGGATACATGCGTCTAATCAACCGTCAGTAACCTACAAAAGGGATTATAGTAATTCCCGCCAAAAGAGGATTCTCACCAATTTCTCGGTAACACAAAGTTATGTCACCGGAAAGCAGGGGGACTATCTGTATTGGATAAAATACGTTATGATACGTGGTCACTTAAGAAAAGGACACGTGGAATCAAAACCGGGAGGATGAAAAATCGGGCACAACTACCTCGCGTGCCACCGAAGAAGGCAAGTTCGTAACGGCATTAAGCATGCTGCGCCCGATGATATTTAGTGAAGAATATTTCAGAGCATTAAAGAGTAACGGCTCAACTATCATTGTAGGACACGATTTTCTGGGCATCAAAGAACATATTCTAATACAACATTTCACTACTATTTTCTCTCCCTAGCTTGTTGTTCTTATCATCGTCGTGCCCGAAAACCCTTTTTCAAGGTTCTCCAAATCTATCATTTTTGTCTATATTTGTACTAAGTATCTTATACCAAAGTTGATTAATTCATCATCTTTTGGGATCAAATTGATTCATCTATCTAGAAACCACGAACAAATTCAACTGTACTATTTTTCAGGTAAACAAGTAGTTAATATAATATATAAAAATATATATCGATTATGCATAAATATTTATGAATTATATGTATATCAAACATCAATATATATTAAAAAATATACATTCGGGGGTTATTATTTTCTAGGGCAGATGCACTATATATGTTGATTTCTCCGAGTTATATTCCAAACAATAGGACTAAAAGTGAATATCTTTGAAAATCCACCAATATTTTAGTGTAACTAGGCTTTGTAGATAGAGAAAATGACCCTCTATGACCCCTCAAAATTTTAGTAGCCCATATTTTTCATCATTGACACGAAATGACCCTGCGGCCCAAGCATATTATATTTAATAGCCCGAAATATCTCTTTTGTATATTTTTTGTATAGTGACAATCTATTTTGTATAGTAATACTCTATTTTGTATATTTTTTGTATAGTGACAGTCTATTGTACATAAATTGTATAATGACAGTCAATTTCGTATAGTAACATCTATTTAGTATATTTTTTGTATAGTGACAGTCTATTGTACATAAATTGTATAATGACAGTCAATTTCGTATAGTAACATCTATTTAGTATATTTTTTGTATGCTGACAGTCAATTTTGTTGCAGTCTATTTGTATATTTTTTGTATAGTGATAGTCTTTTTTGTATATTGAATGACTACGATGTGTAAAAAATATATATACATTTTGTACTAGTGTGCACATGAATTGTAGTATATTAAAATATTTGTATATTTCTGGATGCATGAATCTTGTGGAATAGTCATTGTTTGTCAACTTGTCATGCTGCCTCTTTTTCCATTCACTGATTTTTAGCCAAGATTTATCCTTTTCTTTTGCCATATATATTTCTATATAGGGTTTCTGATTAGTACTAATAATTGATGTGGCTATCACTCGTTTCTGTTTTTTTGTATCCTTAAACAAGCAGGTAAGTCAGGACAGGGTAAGTATATGTACCTGAGCTAAGATTCTCACTTTTAAGTATATGTGCAAAACATTTCGATGTAATTGTTTAATTTTAGCTTTAATCAATCTCTTGTTTAATTTGCTTGTGTTGTTGATGAAGCTAATGGGGATCAAGTAGACCAAGATCAAGTGCTTGCATTCAAGGAATTTAGTCTTGCCGAACTCCGAGCAGAAACGAATGACTTTAGCAGTGAATTAATAGTTTCTGAAAGTGGAGAGAAAGCTCCCAACGTTGTCTACAGAGGGAAGCTTCGGAGCAACAGGATAGTGACACTCAACAGTTTGTGGTAAATCTGGTTATAAGTCAGCAGATTATATAGTGTTTTGGTCCTTTTAGCCATCATCATTGTTGAGCAACAAATGTTTAGATTTAAAACCTGAACTCTAAATTCGATATGATTTCATTGAGACACACTTATTGGTTACTGAACATCATCTGTAATAGTCGTCCATTATAGCTTTCATTGTTTTGTTGCTTTAGTATGTCTTCGCTATACAAAATTATCATGTCACTTGGGTTTGTTAATTTTAGTGGCTAGCCATTAGAATTGGTTCTGGGCTATAAAGTGCATATTATAATTTATGGCCAGCGAATGATATTAGTTTCTACCGAATGGCTAGTAATGAATTTTGCTCTTGTATATACTGTCTTGGGCCCGTATTCTTGGGCCGTTAGCTCCAATATTGAACTCTTTGCTATAGATGCCGATTACTAGCTTCAACAAAGAATAAGATTGGTCCAAGAAAGCAACGAATTGGGCTGTTGGTCCATATTTGGCCCAAGATCAAACAATTATGGTTTACCTATTGAAGAATTAACCTAAATAGCCGCACATTCAACTCCTTAAATTAAAAATAGCCAGTGGATGTATAATATACATATAATCCATGTATAATATGTGCATAACTTTATATAATCCATGTATAATTTATATACACCGGTTAGAAAAAGCAAACAGTGAATCCGACATGCTGTTTGCGTAAAGATCCCTTACCTATTTCGGTCCTCTAGTAGTTATCTTCTTTCTATCAACAGGGACCTGTACCTTGTACAGCTATGGACTAAATATGATTGTTACTTGGGGTGTTTAGGTGCTATATTTAGTGTACTAATGAAATAGTTATATATGCCTATCCAGCGGATAATGTCTCATGACTAAAATGTGCTAATTCGAACATTAGGGAGAAATACACATAGCCTTCAAAATTGTCTTGAATTTTTGTCTTCGCTTGCCTCATGGGCAACACTTTTAACTTTTGACCTTGAAGTTCTGGTCATAGGACAAGCGGAGAGTCAAAAGTTAAAGACCGCCTCAAAAACTGTTATATTCTTGCAAATTTTTGGAACATTAGAGCTAAAAAGTTCGAACTCTATTATTCTCATGGTAACAAATGTCTACTTGGGATGAAAAGAAAAATGTCTACTTGGACCTTTTTTTACGTTTCTGTTAAGTATATGCGAAAAGAAAAACGAAATAGTCATATTTTCTTTCGTTATTCTTTTTTAAGTTTCCTTCCATTTGTTTTTCCATGTAAAGATGGGAATAAAGAGTTCATCTTCTCCTTTTCTTTTTTATTTTTGGCCCGGCAAGGGATAAAATTTGTCAACTTCAGCATATGTTTAACTAGAATTGGACTAAGTGAACAGTAGTGACATCACAAGTCTAAAGATTCTTAGGCATAATATTCAAAGTTCCTTTGCTTTTCTAGCACATGACGCAAGATCTTTTCGATTACATATACAATTCATTAAACCAAACTTTAAGCCCTTTGCCCACATGCAGGTCCTCTCTCTTATGCTAGAGCATAGAGAACATTGTTAATTATCATTTAGAGGATATAATTGCAATAACGACAACAAAAACAATAACGAGGGTATTCCCACAAGTGAATATAATTGCAATAAATTTTTTTAAAAAAAATCGCTACGAAAGACTTCCACGGCAACCCCCATAGTCCCTGAGAATAATTTTCATCCAAATTTTATTCTTAGCGGAAAATAAAATTTAATACATATTATATATGGTGGCTTAATTATAGTCGTCACTGATATATTACTTTCCATGATAACGGTAAAAATCGCTGCTAAAACTATCATGAATTCATGATATTCGCTATGCAGCGAAATTTTGGGTCGTCATAAATTTTTTTTAAATTTTGTGGTAACTCCATGAAAAGTCACGCTATTAAAAAAAAAAAAAAAAAAAAAA